CACACACATTAAAAAAAAAAAGTAAGATAATTAGCTGGGTGTGGTGGTGTATATCTTTAAGAGGTAGAAGCAGGCAGATCTCTGTGAGATAGAGGCCAGTCTGGTCTACATAGCAAGTTCAAGGCCAGCTGGGATTCAGGGAGATCTGTCTCAAAAAGACAAAAAAGGGGCTGGAGACATGGATCAGCAGTTAAGAGCACTGGCTGCTCTTGCAGAGGACCTGGGTTTGGTTCCCAGCACCCACATGGTGGCTAACAACCATCTGTAACTCCAGTTCCAACGGATCCAATGCCATCTTCTATCTCTGTGGACACTGCATGGCACAGGTACAGATACATACATGTAGACAATACACACATTAAAATAAAATAAAAGAAAAAGAAAAAAAGAAAATTGTCTAAGTTCTGAGGTTGGGGTCTATCTGGTGGCCTTAGGCAGTCAGGGAGGGGTGACTGGGTAAGGTGGGGATCTGGGTGCTCACACTAAGCAGTGAATCCTATTGCATTCCAGGGAGCTGGTCCTTTTCTCTAGAGGGCTCTCAGGAGGAGTTGGACTTTAGAAGGTATAGGGAGAAAGCATTCAAGACAGGAGGATATCAAGGAAAAAAGGCAAAGAAAACCTGGTGGAGTTGTATTAGGGGCCTGGGACTGGGCCAGTTCAGCATGGTTTCCTATAACAGGCAACTAATCGTTCTTATTGGGTTCTCAGTTTATTTTGCAAACAATGGCTTTGAGTAGTTTGATTTCACATACCAGAAACCTGAAGTGACAGAACATTGTCAAAGATACACAAAGCTGGACTCTAGTCAAAGCAGTAAGGACCGAATACTCAGCGATGACGACAGCAACAGGGAAAAATGGCCAGTAGGCACAAAATAGCTTGCAGGTGTCCCTAAAGTTAGGCCCTCATCTCCCACAGACTGGAAGGGAGGGCTAGTTCTGTGAATCTCTGTATTTCAAGGGAAGAGAAACTATTTCTGAGTAATTAAAAGAGTCACATGTCAAAAGGGCAGAGAAAGGATTTAGAGTCGCAGCTTTCTAAAGCAAACGCCCAAAAAGGGGAAAATGGCTAGAACAAACAGAAAATTCTCCTGGCAGCCATGCAATGTCTCAGGCAGGCATTTTAAAGGGAATCATCCTAGGGAATTTCCCTTAAACCTCTGGAAATCATGCTAGAGTTTGATGGAGAGAGTCTCTACCAACATTCAGGGGGAAACTGGGTTTTACTACCATGAGATTCCTAGGGACTTTGGGATAATGAGGGAGGAAGGAATCGCAAACAGCAAACAGTGAACAGATGGAAAGGACAGGCAGCCAGGTTAGAGAAACTAAATCCAAACAATCCAAGAAGGCTGAGAGCAAGGAGCTGGGGAGGCAAAAGTTAGCTCCTGCTGCAACCCCTGCCCCCTGCTGTGGAGGACTGTGACTCAGGATTGCCAGCCAAATAAAGTCGTTCTCCCCTGATTTGCTGTTGTTAGGTACCACAGCAAAGGCACAATTCCTGACTTCCCGGTCCCATTGTAAACTCCTTGCTTGCAAGACTCATGCCATCTATAACTTGGTATTCCCAGGGCTGGACAAATATTGCAGAGTTGGTACTAAAGCAACCCTTTGTGATGGTGTGATGTGGAGTCTTGTTTTCAGAAAGACAGTACCTTCTGTTGTAGGCAAGCTGTGGAGGACTCGGTGGGATGGTAATGTTCTTGGGTAGGGTTTGAAATGGAATTTAAGAAGTGTGAAACTGCTAGCTGGTTATAAACATGGAACACCATCCTTCCTGGCCACAGCTCCTTCTGCTTCAACATCAGTGATTTGGTTCAAGACAAAGGAGAATTTGGCAAATGTGTTTATAGAGAATGGTGGATGACAGATGGAAACTTTCAATGAGCTCCACATTTGGGAACTTAGGATGACATCAGAGTACGGCAAAAGGCAGACTCGGATCCTTTTTGAACTGATCTCAGGTGAGTCAAAGATGATAGAGTGCTTTAAAATCTAGGATGCTGGTTATAGAATCAATTCAGTATCTTTTTCTTCAATGTGTAAAAACGCATCAAGGGACCTTACACCTCTTCTCACGTTTTAGGAACCAGCTTCCTGGGGTTCATAGACTAGCAGGTCATTTGCAATATAACACAAATAGTAATGAAGCTCCACTCAAATACATGTGTGCTGGAGAGAATGGAAGCACTCTAGAGCAGCCGGTCTGTGCACAGAAGAGCCCAGGTAAGGGAGGAATCAAGTCTGATTTTTTGGCAGCCAAGAATGTGCCAGGAGCTATGGCTGCTGCCACCTGTTTCACAGCATAACATTCTCCTTGCCTATCTCTGAATTGTATATACTAAGAGAGGTACAGCCATCACTGTTAGAGAAGTGTACTTATTTACTTAGTTTTATTGTGTGTGTATGTATGTACATGAGCATATGTGTGTACATATGGAGGTCGGCAGTCAATTTTGTGGACTTAGTTTTTCCTTCCTCCTATATGTGGTTTCCAGGAATGAACTTAGGAGATGCCAAGCCATCTCCCTAGCCCTTAGATATACCGTTTCTTTTTTTGAAAAATAGTTTTCCTTCTGTTATTGTTTAAAATTTAAATTAAAAATTTACATTTTTATTTGTTGTGTGTTTATGTGTATGTGTATGGGTACACATAGCATGTGTGTGGAGGTCACAGGTCAACTTTCAGGAATTGGTTCTCTCCTTCTACCATGTGGTTCCCAGGAATTGAACTCAGGTCACCAAGGTTGACAGCAAGCACCCCTGAGCCATCTTGTGGGCCCCATCTTCATTTTAAAAAGTGTATGTTTATTGTAAAACAAATGTTTTGAAGATACATAAGATGAGAACATTCATAATCCTCTTGCTACCTCCCCTCCCCACACCCAAGAACTACTTGGAATGTTTTGATGGCTTCCTTCCTGTCTGCTCTACTTGATTCTGTATCTGACCTAGTTCATATGTGGAGAGACAGCCTTCTCCTTTGGCTTTTGCTGTATAATGAACTGATTATAACTGAGTTTGCTACTGGTTTTGTCAGTAGAATGAACTGATGAACAAGAAAACAATCATACTTTCCATCTGAACAACTGTGATGTTATCAAAGGACTCTGGCATCCACTCTCTCATTTCAACATCACATCAGATAGGACACTGATCTGAATGTTCAGGTCAGGGAGGAAAGAACAGACCCTGCCCTATCAGCAGACCTGGAAAATGTCAGAGCCAGGAGCTGAAGTCTATGGATTTCTTATTTAGAGATTTCTCTCTATGGTAATTAATGCTTATATATCTAGGTACAGAAATTCTGTTAGAGAGCGAGGACTTCTCCTTCCTGTGGTTTATTTTTCTCTATAGAGCACACGTGTGTTTAATGTATCTGGGCTGTCAGCCTGGGAACTTTGCCCAATCACAGGCACGGAGGGTGCTTGCTCACAGGCACCCATTTCCTCTGTCTCCTGAGCAGCTGGCTTGGTCCTAGCAGCCAGTATCTGGGGCACAGCTTTGCCTCGATTCCCATCATCAACTTAAGCACCTGCCTTAGCCATTTTGCCTTGTTAATTACTAAGTCAACAGGCCTCCAGCAAGAGGCTTGGACACTTCATCAGAGAGCTTTCTGAGTAAGTGAGATCCTGACCTCATTACTCCCGGCTTCTTGACTGGCCTTTGCTAGATTTCTTGACCTTGAAAACCAGTTCCATACTCACTAAGATTTTTAATTTCTGTTTTTCAATTTCTCTTTAAAATTTTTTTCCTCTTTACCTAGCTAATCTTTTCCCCTCCTAACATTAATATTTTATGTAAATCCAAAAGATTAGGTGACCTCAATAAATTAGATGAAATACAGGATTCTGTGGAAAGGATGTTAGGAAATGAGATTGAAAGTGATCGCAAAGCTTAAAAAGAAGAAGAGGAAAGACAGAAAGCAATAAAAGGATAAGAACTCAAGATGGGAAAGAATCTGGGAAATTAAAAAATTTTCTGCTGGGGACATTGTATCAAAAAAAGAAATGTCCTCTTCATTTTGTGTTGTGGAATTTCAGATACCTGATTATTGACTTTGGATATATAACTCCCCAACACTTTGAAGCAGCAAGAAATGCTTGACAATTTTCTTTTCAAATATCAAAGACTTAAAATCAGTACATCATATAAAATTCTTATCATTTCTGAAAAAATTGTGGTCAACCTACTCCTTGCATGATCACAAGCAGTGAATTTCATGACCCCCACAGCCATCCCCACCACAAGCTCTGGCAGGTCTGTCTATAGCCATCCTGTCTGTCAGGGCTCACACCACTGCTTGCTAGATCTCCTTCTTTCTCCTCATTGATTCAAGACAGTGAAGAACTTATATTGGATAGTTAGAAAAACAAGGGTAACTGCTGCCTACTATGAATAGATTAGCGAGTGAGTGACTGGTCTAAGTGGTCCAAATGGTACCTTCAACTACCTCCATGCCTGGGCTCTGATCGTATTACACCAGAGTGGTGACTGTCACCCCTGGATAAGCTATCACTGCATCTTTAACCAGCATCCTTCCCTGCAGCCCCTGAGGACCATGCTTTGGCAAACCATCACCAAGGCCACATTTGGGTGCCAGTAGTAAACCATCTCAGCCTACCTTACTGTAGACCCTGGTCCCCTTAGCAAAGCCAACTGTGTAAGAGTCAAACAATCAAACCATCCTTCTTGCCTCGAAGTAGCTATTTAAAAAATTAAACCAAGTGGCATTGGTTCAGTTTGGTCAAGAATGGAATTGAGTGGTTTCAGCATGAAACTTTCTGAGTAGTTTTCTGTTGATCCCTCTAGGTAACTCATCTCAGAACCATGAGAGGCCAGATTTTAAAAAAAAAATTTATCTTTGGGGGTCAACTAGTTTCTATATAATTTCATTTAGCCCTCACCTATCTTGTCTCCCTTAGCTAACTGGCTCCTTGTGTTCCGTTAAGCTGTCCTCAAGGCCTCTGCATGTTCACTAAGTGACCAGGGCTGTCCTACCTGAGTTCATTTTCCACCCTGAATCCTTTCCTGCGGGCCAGATCCATGAGGAAGGCTCTTCGAGTGCTTCCCATCTTTTTCTCCAAAATGAACAGGACTAAGTCCTGAAATCTGATGTCATGAAGAGTGGAGGCCGCTGAGGTGCCCATCTGCTTGGGTCTCTTCTTCCGAGGGCCCAAGTGGACTGCTCGCAGTGGATCCATGGGAAGAGACTGCTGCACCTTGGCTATGCTGTCAGGTGGTGTCTCCTGTGTGAGGACTCACTGGCAGACTCTGAAGCCAGGGAAGAGCTTTATGGGTACCGCCTTGTGACAGCTTCCTGCTACAGGAATTTCCATCTCTGTTCAGTTCCTTCATCCCCCATGGAATCTTGATGGAAAGTGTAAATGAATGTTGTTTTCATATGCAGGATCTCTGTAGCATCTCAGAATGACCGCGAGAAGAAGGTAGGGGAAACACCACTGACTATATTACTTATTTCTAAATCTGCTCAAGCCCTTCTGTTATCTTTTTAAAAGTTAAAAAAATTCAATTACATTTATTTATTTGTGGGGGAGGGGCAAGCATGCCACAGTGCACATGTGGAGATCAGAGGACAATTTGCAGAAGCCGGTTCTCTCTTTCCATTGTGTGGATCCTGGGGATCAAACTCAGGCTGTCAGGCTTGGAAGCAAGTGTCTTTACCCACTGAGTCATCTTGCCAGCCCCTGCTGACTCTATTTATTGATCCCTCTTAATGCCTAACTCACTTTTATTCTCTTTGTCTTGAACATAATCCTAACGGTATATTGGAAGCGTGTACTTCTTATGTGTTACATGTTGCATGTGGTTGCTTTGATTTTTTTATACAAATGGCATCTACATTTCTCATTCTGCTGGTCACCATTTTAAAAAATCTCCTAACTATGATTTTTCAGAACTCTGTTCTACTCTGCTGCTTTTAATTGCCCCTAAAGCGTTTTGTGGTAGGCACTGACTACAGGTTCCCTTATGTGAGTGCATGTTATAAACGAGGAATCCAAGGCTCAGTCACTGAAGACACAAAGTAAGTGGGCAAACAGGATCTCGAATTCAGTTCTTCTGACTTCAGATGAGCTAAATCTTGGTATGTTTTTCAGTGACTCTAAGAGAGTAGCCTATTATATCACTACAACAGATCCCTGAGCTGAGAGGCCGTTTAGGTAAGAGTCACTGCCATAACTTTCTCTGCATTTGCATTTTTGGTCAGTACACTATAGATCTCACTTCTTGAATACTTACTATGGGACCTGCGCAAACACCCACAAGCCTGACTGAATCCTTACAGCACCACTGTCAGGTAGGCACCCACAAAATGGAGCAGTTGGTCAATGGCCCCACAAAGTACTGTCAGAACAATTAGAAACAGTGTAGCAGAAGGAAGATTCTAGGCTTCCTAAACAAATTAGCTCACAGGGCTAATCAATAATCACAACTAATAAATAATTGAGTCAAGAGTTGACGTCAGATTTGTCTGACTTTAAAATCTAGACTCTTGGGGCCAGTGAGATGGCTCAGTGGATAAAAGCACTTGCCACCAAGCCTTGAGTTCCATCTCTAGGACCCACATGGTAGAAGGCGAGAATCAACTTCTCAAAGTTGTCCTTCCTTCTTCACACGAGTGCTGTGGCATGTGTGCAAACACACCCAAGATAAATAAATAAAACATTAAAAAATTAAAAATCTATGCTCTTAACCACCAAGCCACCTCCTTCTACCCCAGCAATATACTGAGTTCTGCCCATAAGCTGTGCCCACCTCTTCTGTCATTGCATTTAGGACTTTTGATACCTACAGGAGCATGTGAGTATCTCATCACAACTCAGGAAGGAGTGATTTAACAGCCAAGTCTCTCAGGAAGGTAAAAATCAGAGATCGATAGGGAAGCCAGGTGTGGTGGCGCACACCTTTAATCCCAGCACTTGGAAAGCAGAGGCAAGCGGATCTCTGAGATCAAGGCCAGCCTGGTCTACATATTGAGTTCCAGACCAGCTGGGGCTACAGGGAGACTCTGTCACATACTAACTAACTAAATAAATTGACAGGTAGACATCAAAGAGCAACAGATTTTAGCTTTCTGCAAGTAAGAACTTTTAAGAAACTATACCTGTTAGACGTAGAGAGTGAGCTCCTTTGTGTTGTATCAGAGGCCATGAAAGTGTTCAAGACGATGCCAGGCACATGTTCACTGAAATGTCACAGAGGGACCTAATCATCTGGAGGGTCCTTCCATGCAGCTCTGTGATCTGGGGTGCTGTGCTTGCTAGACATCAGCATGTAGAGACAAGAGTTCCCTTCTGGCTCTCCGTTAGGTGTTTGGCTTTTGAAGTACTGACTTCATGACAGAACACAGTCTTAGCCAAGTGATCTCACAGTGTAGAGAAAGCACAGGATTCTGGCCAGACCCTGAGGTGGTATTCATTCCCATGGTAGAGGCAGATCACAGAAACAACAGGAAAGACAGGGGTGGGTAATGCATAGACATGATCCATCTGGCTATAAAATCCCACCTGCACAACTGGGAAGCTGTGACCTTGAGCAGGTTGCTTCGCTTCTTTAAGCCTCAGATATCCCCATCTGTAAAGTGAAGACTGAAATAGCCCATCTCATCTGCTTACAGAGGGCCTGGCACAGATGAAGATACTGAAATAAAAATCAGTAGTATTTGTGTTCCCCTCTGAAGGCCATCTAGCCGCAATCTAAAATCAGGTCTATGTTTTATAAAACCATTAAGTTATCAAATTATAATATTAACCAACATTAATAATCCCAACTTTACCCTTTCGTTGGTCCAGCTCTGAGTGGGCCATGCTCCCTGAAGTTACACTGAGCTGTATCAGTGTTTTCTTTTAGTTTTTTTCCCCCAGCTTTCCAATGCCTGTAAAATCAATCTCCAATGTTAAGTTCTCTACTGACATGCCTACTGTGCCCTAGTGAAATACCTAACTGAATCCTAAACTGACACCATGTCCAAAGAAGGTAGCAGTGTAGACAGCAGAGGTTCACCTACACATCTGGATACATACTCTGGCTCAAGGACACTCATAGAGATGTACATACCAAGAATTTTGTCCACATAGGGCTTAGAAACAACATGTGTATCTATTACTAATAGTGGAGCTGATTGACAAAGTGGTGGGACACTGTACAGCCACCTGTCACGCCATATACTAGTAACCAGCATGGTAAATGTTCACAATATTATAAAATCATCTTACTACACAGAGTAGTTCTACAGAGAAGACTAGGAAGGAACCTGGTGAGCTTAATACTGCAACAGTGAATTTCACAGGTCATAGGGTTTCAGTGTGAATTCTGGCTTGGTCTTTGTGCTTTTCTGTTTATAATTTTATTTCCTTCCATTCTTCCTTCCTCCCTCCATTCCCCCCCCTTTTCTTTTCCTCTTCCTTTACTTTTGTGACAGCCTCCCCATGCTGCCCACCTGGTCTAACTCACCAATTCAAAGGGTCCTCCCAGCTCAGCCTCCTATAGCAAATGGGACTACAGGTCTGTGTCACCATAATTGGTTATTGTTTAATAATCCCTACAATAAACATGAATTGCATTTTAACAATAACAAAATACTTTTAAAGATACTTTTTTTGAAGAGTATCTTAGTTGGGCTTGCTGGTGCATGTCTTTGATTCTAGCACATGGGAGGAAGAGGCAGGTGGATCTCTGTGACATGAAAGTCAATCTGGCCTACATAGTGAGTTCCAGGCCAGCTGGGGCTACAAGGAGGCAATGTCTCAACAAACAAATGAGCAAAATAATGAACAAAAAAGAATAGCTTGAGTTTGCACCATATTTCCTTTGTGAAAAGCAATGGCAGTGAAATTATTTCGAGTGAGCTATACAGAGGTTGGGCATGTTTTCTGGTATCTGCAACGTGTGCCATTATATCACCTGTAGAAGTTCTACCTGATGGAAGGCAATACTGAACTGGGGCTCTTATGCAAAGGTTAGAGTTTGTACTTCTTAGTAATTTCACCTGACCAACTCTGGGGATGAAGTGTGGAGCTTCTAATTCCATTTCTCTGCCTCACAGAGTCCTTTGCAATGATGACATGTGGTCTGAAGCCACAGTGCTTTGGTTTGAAACAGTTTGTCACCTCAAAACTCATATGGAAACTTAGTTGCTGTTACAGAATGAGTCCTTAAGGGGTGACTAGGGATTAATACCTTTGTCACAGGAGTGAGCTCTGCTCTTGTGGGATGGAATTTGGTTATAGTGTGTGTGGGTTGTTAAAAAGTAAAGTCATCCTTGAGAATTAATCTCTTCTACACAGACCCACTTGATCTGCTTCTCACCATGGGATAAAGGAGAACGAGGTCTTGCCTCCAGGTCTTTGACTTCCAAGCCTCCAGAACAGTAAGACAAAATAAACCTCTCTTATAAATTTTCCAGTTGCAGTTATTTTGTTGTAGCCACAGAAAATGGACTAATACACATAATCATGACTTGATAAGGGGAGGTGGGAAACCACACAACACTCTGAAGTGGGTATGAGGACATAAAAGCCTCATTGTGATTTTAGGCATTAATTAAACCATGCTCATGAAGTACCTTGAAAATTATGAAACGTGAGTCTGCGGAGATTTCTTAGTCAATAAAGTGCTTGTCGTGCAAGCATGAAGACTTGAATTTGATCCCCAACATCCAATAAAAGCTAGATGTTGGGGCTGGAGGGATGGGACAGTAGTTAAGAGTACTAGCTGCTCTTACAGAGGACCTGGATCTGGTTCCCGGCACCCACATGGCATCTACCAGTCCTCTGTAACGCCCTCTTCTGGCTTCTGTGGGCACTGCACTCATGTGATGCACGTACATACATGCAGGCAAAACACTGAGACACATAAAATAAAAATTAATTAATTAAAAATTAAAAGCTGGATGTGGTGGCACAGGTTGATAATCCCAGTGCTGGATAGGTAGAGATAGGCAGATCCCCCAGGTTTACTGGCCAGCCAGCCTTGCCTAATTGGCAAGCCTCAGGCCTCAATGAGAAAACCTGTCTCAAAAAAGCAAGGTGCACAGCATCTGAGGGACAACTCCCAGCTGAGATTGTCCTCTAACCTCCACACACATGCATGCATACATTCACCTGCACACAAACACACACACCACATGAAACACTGTGCAGAGGTCAGTTAGTTGCTCTGTTGGTCTCATTGGCATATGTGC